TTATTACGCACGTGTAAATTGTAAAGATTGGTCAGGTGGTCTAAAACTTAAACATCACCCGTAAGATGGCAAACGTCACTGTTTATTTCGAGTCGGCGCATTAGAGATCTGGTAAGGATTGGAGTTTTGACATCTCGTTTAAAGGTTGATAAACTACTTTTATAGTTTGGTTTAAAAGAGCTTTAGGCAGAAAAGACTGTTGTAGTTTTTGTGAACTACAACTTCCTGAAATGTGGAAGCATGCGATGTTTCGCTTTCTGTCCTGAGGCCAATCTCGGAAAGGCGAAACCAGGACCTGATGATGAAGCCCTCAGCACAGAAACCAACACGTTACCCAATCCACTCTCTCTCTTTAGACAGGTACAGCCCAAATAACTTCACATTCAGTGATTTGTCAGCTATTGAAATGCAAAAAGCACCAGAAGAAACAACAACAAGAAACTGACGATAAGAAGAATGTTTAATAATAATAATAATAATAAAAGTGCTGATTTATTTTCATTTAATCTGTCGTCAGTACCTAAAGGACCCTTGCTATGTATAAACCAATTTTTGGAGAATGTCAGAGAATTTTTTCGAAGCTTCTACCTGGTCTACGTTTATTAATTGTATGTGCTGATAAAGAAGGGAAGTCAAAGGATTAACATACAACTGTTTTATAGATTGGGGTGTGGTGCGCCTATAAACGGGTCAAGTAAATTAGGCCGTGTCTGAGATTCAGGTAATTTTTGGATAAAGCACGAACTGGCACGACATCTCGCGGAATAAGTAACAGATGGGGTTTCGCAGAAAAGTGACACATTGTCAACCATATAAAACGGGAAGGGATAAAGTCTTCAGATCAAATTTCGGTATATCTACATAACAGTGTAAACTGTAACGGTCCAATAAACAGAGACGACAGCATACTTTCAAATTCGTTAGCGGTTACGTAAAAATGTTTTATTATGCACGTACACGAAAGAATAAATAGTGCAATGACCTTAAGTGGGCGATATTCATTTATTAACGATCACACTAATACATCTTAGAGCTGATAAATAAGAAATATATAAAAAAGTAAACAATGAAACATCTGTGATTTTCGAGAATGGCTAGAAGTGGTAAAAAAAGGCCCATCTTATATATTTTACACGTAAATAACAAAACCTGTAAAATGGCATTTCTTTTATCATTTATTCCGCGGAGTAGATAGCTAAATCCACTAGCTCCGACCTTGTTTTTCAACTTGGTTATTAACTTGATAAATACAAATTAAGAGACGTACTAGGTACCCCCAAAACACACACACACACAAAAAAAAAAACTGGTCATGAAAAATACTGATAATATTTGAAAATATCAAATTCCAGGCACGGCTGAAAATACGTGAAGAAATCTAAACAAAACATAAAATGAAAAAAAAGATAAACTAGAAACGAAATGCGAGATAGGAGATTTTTAACGTTTCATTTCTATTTTGTCGCTATTTATGATTTGATGTTTAAAATAAGCTATTGAGAACAGGGAACCATTCTTTGAACTATGGTTCCAGTTTCTTGATGGTTAAGATTACTTTGTTCCTTGGCCAGGTGGTTAGGGAGATCGACTCGCAATCTGCGGGTCGCTGGTTCGAATCCCCGTCCCACCAAACATGTTCGCCCTTTCAGCCGTGGGGGTGTTATAATGTGACGGTTAATCTCACTATTCGTTGGTAAAAGAGTAGCCATAGAGTTGGCGGTGGGTGGTAATGACTAGTTGCCTTCCCTCTAGTCTTACACTGCTAAATTAGAGACGGCTAGCGCAGATAGCCCTCGTGTAGCTTTGCGCGAAATTCAAAACAAACAAACAAACTTTGTTCCTTATATCTTGTTCATTATTGAAACTACCCGCAGTCCTGTTACATTCTTGGTCTAACTGTTTGTACATCCGGAGTGATAATTGTTGTTGTCTTCAGTTGTTTGTAAACAGAAGTCTAAGTAGTAATACAAATAACGTACGGAATTGGCTGAGGTTAGGTATTCCAATTTTTTCGAAATCAAGTTAATAATGGGCAGGATGATGAGCCCCTGCAGAAGCGTAGACAGGGGTGGCAGGATAGAGAGGAACAGCCGCATGTGGGGCAGGGTGGCCATATTCTTTTAAAATTGATTTACATGAATTTATTTTAAAACAGGATCTATTTTGACGGGTATTAAAATCAGGGATTTAAAAGCGAGAAACTGACGGAGGCTTTTTATTTGTTGAGTTTTGCGCAAAGCTACACGAGGGCTATCTGCGCTTAGCCGTCCCTAATTTATAAGCGATAGACTAGAAGGAAGGCAACTAGTCAACTCCACCCACCGCCAACTCTTGGACTATTCTTTTATGAAAGAAAAGTGGGATTAATAGTCACATTATATTGCTCCCATGGATGAAAGGGCGAGCATGTTCGATGATGGGATTCGAACCCATGACCCACACACAGTGAGTTGAGCGTCCTAACTCTGTATTTTAATTGGATATTATACCTGTACATAGAAAGAGAAGTGCCACATAAAACACAATACACAAAAATTTCCAGAAATTACGAATGCTTGTTTTATTTAAGAAAAGAAATTTCTATTACCAAAATAAAAGACGAGGTACAGTTAACTGTTAAAGTTTTAACTGGCATATTTTGTTGACATATTTATGAGGTACAAAATAACCATTAATACCACATAATATAACGTTCACAAGAATGTTAAAAACCGCACGATTCTTGCATGGTCGCCGATTTCGACTTCAAAGTGTGTGGGAACCATTTAATCAAAATATTATGTGACGTCATTAATTATAACAATGTTCACAGTAGCCAGCAGAGGGGGACGTTTCACATTATTCGGTAATCTTGACAGCTATGTTTGATTGAATCTTATTGTTTGTAAAAATATGAAAAAAAATAATTGTATATGTTTAAAAGATCTTTAATGTGTGTGTGGGACAAATACATATACTGTCCCCCACTGCTAAAGGTATAAGAACCTGTACGCCCTGTCCCCTAGAATCGGTGCCTATGGGTTAGTGAGTGGTATTCTGTGGTTAATTACAAATTCCCAGTTTGCCCCTGAAGAAGAAAGGTCCACTTTTCGAAAGTGCTCGGGTTATAGGGTTTTTATTAATTTCTATCAAGACTTCTTGAACCTACTTATTTTTCTAACATCATGAATACAAAATGTTTAAAATAGTTGAACTCCTCTTGATTCCTGTAGATTAACTGTTTAAAATAAGTTGAATTCCTTTTGATTCCGTAGATTAACTGTTTAAAATAAGTTGAACTCCTCTTGATTCCTGTAGATTAACTGTTTAAAATACTTGAACTCCTTTTGATTCCTGTAGATTAACTGTTTAAAATAAGTTGAACTCCTCTTGATTCCTGTAGATTAATTGTTTAAAATAAGTTGAACTCCTTTTGATTCCTGTAGATTAACTGTTTAAAATAAGTTGGACTCCTCTTGATTCCTGTAGATTAACTGTTTAAAATAGATTGAACTCCTTTTGATTCCTGTAGATTAACTGTTTAAAATAAGTTGGACTCCTTTTGATTCCTGTAGATTAACTGTTTAAAATAGTTGAACTCCTTTTGATTCCCGTAGATTAACTGTTTAAAATAAGTTGAACTCCTTTTGATTCCGTAGATTAACTGTATATGATAAGTTGGACTCCTATTGATTCCTGTAGATTAATTGTTTAAAATAAGTTGAACTCCTTTTGATTCCCGTAGATTAATTGTTTAAAATAAGTTGAACTCCTTTTGATTCCGTAGATTAACTGTTTATGATAAGTTGAACTCCTTTTGATTCCCGGAGATTAACTGTTTAAAATAGTTGAACTCCTTTTGATTCCGTAGATTAACTGTTTAAAATAAGTTTAACTCCTTCTGATTCCCGGAGATTAACCGTTTAAAATAAGTTGAACTCCTTCTGACTCCCGGAGATAAAAAGCTTAGAATTGTAGCTTTGAATTTAAAACTCTGAGTGAACTTCCAATGTGTTTTAAAATAAAGACTACTTCACGACAGACTGATTGTTTGTTTTAGAGCAAAGCCACATTGGGCTATCTGTCGTGTCCACCACGGGGAATCAAACAACAGACTGAAAATAAATACTGTGCAGATCAAACCATATATACAAACTTTGGTATAAAATATCTTGTCAAGCGTTAAAATATTATTAGGCTCTGTGGTGTAAATACTTTACGTATTTCTATCGTATTAAAACAACTCTATTACTGTTTACCACAACAAGAGTTTAAATAGCATACAGTTGAAAGTCTTTACACAACCAGTGTTGAATCCAAACCCTTTCACCGGGAGGGGAGAGAATGTGAAGCTAAGGGAGATGAATTAAAATTAATATTCGACAAAATGGAAAATACTGTACGTTGGGGGGGGGATTTCACAGGGGGAACTCCCCCTGTATATTCCCAGAATTCAACTCTGTATAAAGGTATCGTATTAATCAGAAAATACATTATAGGTAAATATAAAGTTAGCATAAAAAAATTACACATGATCCTATTTTATTCTTTTTTTTCTTGTGGTAGTGGTAGTAGATAGAAACCTCGGTATATTTGTTTTTGAAAAAAAAAACGATATAAATTTAGGGTGTTCAATGGGCATCAATAGAAAGTGGTGAAATGCGGCCACCTTTCGGGCATATTTAATTCATTCTTTCATATTATGTTGATATTATAACTAAAAAAAACACACGTACAGAAAATAGAATCTCGAATAACATTTACAATAACCCACAAAACCAAGAGCAAAACAAATACTTTAAAAATAGAACACTTAAAAAATACCACTTTTACTTTAAAAATAGAACACTTAGAAAATACCACTCTTACGTACGTATAAGTACGCTGAGTAATAAACAGTGAAATATTTCCGAAAATAGTAACCAAAAGTTTTTTTTTTTTTTTTGTCCTTAATCGAGACTGAAGTTTTGCTGTAGAGAGCAGGTTTATTTGCCCCTTAGCTAGGTTAAGAATATATAGTAGTTGAGGCAGAACACGGCCAGGGGCAAGGGCGCGTACAGCTAGCGATCGGGTGAGGTTCACACAAAAAAAGCGGAAACAGAAATGAAACGTCTATTGGTTTAAGTGCTCCAGATTTTAACAGCGAGCTAAACGTCAAAGTCTATGGAGTAGGACAAAGTATAAAAATCAGAGTAGACTCGAGTTCGATATCAAAACGTTTGTAGTCCTACCTGACGTAAAATCATTGTAAGAGGTTTCTTCGTAGTGTTGACATGATGAAGGTAAGAGTAATAAGCTGGATTCGCAGTCTCAGGTGAAAAACTAAACAAAAACTTGTGATTAAGAAAACGAAACTACCGAGTTTTTTAAACTTTGTTTTTCTGGCTTGTTACTTCTAATAATATCGATGAATAAGAAGCAAATTCTTTCTAGAAAGTTTTTGAGCTATTAACAACCTCGTGTTGGTTCTACCTTTCTTTATCATTGTCTTTTAGATTCTTAAGTTTCAAAATCTTGAACGTGAAGAACACTTCTTTTGATTGGTCTGTTAACAACCTCGTGTTGGTTCTACCTTTCTTTATCATTGTCTTTTAGATTCTTAAGTTTCAAAATCTTGAACCCAATCAAAGAACTGTTCTTCACGTTCAAGATTTTGAAACTTAAGAATCTAAAAGACAATGATAAAGAAAGGTAGAACCAACACGAGGTTGTTAACAGCCCAATCAAAAGAAGTGTTCTTCACGCTGTTAACAAAGAGATGTTCATTACATCATTCTCTACTATCATCTGTTAGATTCTATGTTTGAAATTGTGGAAGAAAAGTGTGCTTACATTTATAAATTAAACCATTAAAGCATATTTCGGTAGGACATTATAATATTTTCCTCTGATATCTAACGCTCTCTGCTGTTGTCGTCTATTCACGTATTTTAAAGTGATGGATTATAAAAAAAACAAAAAACAATATGACGCAGGCCCAAATGCAAGACTTATATAAAGACTTAAGACATTGTAACGGCAAAGACATAATAATTAAACTTCTGAAGATATTCAAATATGTTTACTACACTGCAGGTTGTGATTCTCTGCCTTGTTTTGGGATACGCTGCGGCTCAGTACTCCCCGGCTCACGGATACGCCCCTCCAGCTCATGCCAAAGGTGGTTATGCGCCAGAGCCTTATGTAAGTATTCTATTTATTTTTTGTCCTCGTTTAACTAATAACTTATAAGAGTGATTGAACTTTGGCAAGGAAGTTTCTCGCATTTTCCGATACGAAATCAGGCACTTGTTTCTGATTTTACTGCATTAATCCAGGAAGAACAAGTGATAAAATATTATACTTGTCAAAAGACATTAATATGAGGCTTAATCTTCACCTTTTCTCCCAGATGAAAAAGAATCACTCTTCGAAAGGTATTTAAAAACAACAACTAACATTTAAAGTAGGCACTTTTTAAAAAAGTTAAACTTCAGACATTTTGTTGCACTTTTGCCAAATATAAAAGTGATGGATTGTTTTAATTTTGAGTGTAGCAGAAATTTCAAAATATATTAATGAAATTAAACTTATAAACCTTGCTCTACACGGTTTTTATGAAAGTAGACACATAGTAGACACGATAAAGATAGTGTAGTTTCTATCACATTTATAGATTACTTTTATCAGACAGGTGGCAGCACTGTCTATGTAGGGATGGCTCGGATTGTTCATCGAAATGGTATTTTAAATATCTCCTCAATTAGGTC